TGAAAAACATTGTCTGTGAGGCTTTTCTTCACACTATCTGAAAGAGAGGGAGAGTTGCAGAAAGAATCATAGAAGAACAAACCTGAGTTGAAGATAAACTGACAGCAAAGTTTCTATTAATATCTCAAAGATAATGAACCAGAACAATCCTGGTATCTTTTGTGTCAAGATTAATAAGAAATGACAAAATCAAGGAAACAGGAAAGAAATGTTTTGTTGACAGCAGTTAAACATGGAGGTTGTCTAATGATATCCTAGGGTTGCTGACTTTCCAAATTTGCTCACTATTTATTTATTTATTTATTTATTTTGAGACAGAGTTTCTCTCTTGTTACCCAGGCTGGAGTGCAATGACGTGATCTCGGCTCACTGCAACCTCCGCCTCCTGGGTTCAGGCAATTCTCCTGCCTCAGCCTCCTGAGTAGCTGGGATTACAGGCTCACACCACCGTGCCCAGCTAATTTTTTGTATTTTTAGTAGAGACGGGGTTTCACCATGTTGACCAGGATGGTCTCGATCTCTTGACCTCGTGATCCACCCGCCTCGGCCTCCCAAAGTGCTGGGATTACAGGCGTGAGCCACCACACCCGGCCAATTTGCTCTTTATTTGAAGGTCAAGTATGATTTTATAAAACAAGTCTTTATTGCACGTATAATATTTAGTAGAGAGAAATATTTTTCTTCTCCCCCCACCCTGCAAGACACACACAGTGACTGAGGACTGGTGAAAAGTGGTAAAGGAGAAAGAGCTTCAGGACAGATCCCCAGATGAATCTGAAAATTGCTTTTCTTTATATCATGTAATACTACGTCCCCTGCTAACAATATACCCAAAGCAAGAGGGAAATACATCGTTCATGGGAGCCTGATTTGCAGAAGTAAGTCATAAAATGATATCACCTGTAGCTCTTGGTACATAAATTGTTATAGACAATTATGCATTTACTTGGAATGTCTTTTGGGTACCATTCTTGTCTCCCAGTAAGTTCAAGCTTCATGAGTGTTAGGGCAATGTTAGGGAATTATTGAGAAAGTTCGATGCATATATTCAGAAATTCCTTGCAAGGACATCTAAGCCACCCTGCATGTCCCCACTGATCGCTGCCAACATTGGGCATGGGTGATTCTGCCAGCATCCCAAGATTTCCATAGGGAGGCACTTACAAAGCCCTATTTATATACAACACAATCTCAATGACATGATAACCACTGAATAAATACTTATTAAATTAAATTGATCAAATGAAACTTAATAAGTAACAGGAAATAAAAAATATAATTTTAACTTAGGAAAAAATCCCCTATGTTAAAATTATATTTTAACTTAGATGTCCCCTATCATTCTGCTCTCCTTCCCATACCCCTCACTCAGCACCAGTGGAGCAATTTTACCTCTGGAATTATTGAGAAAGTTCGATGCATATATTCAGAAATTCCTTGCAAGGACATCTAAGCCACCCTGCATGTCCCCACTGCTCGTTGCCAACCTTGGGCATGGGTGATTCTGCCAGCATCCCAAGATTTCCATAGGGAGGCCCTTTGAAGATGGTGTTTCCTCCCCAGCCTCAATATTGCCCATGGGTCCTGGGAGAGGGAGACCCAGGCCTCTCCAGAGTTGCCTGGAGTCTTGGAGAATTAAGGTCTCCACTCAACCCTCTACCCACAAGACCTGAGCACCCTGCCTGCTGCCTGATGCGTGTGCACATACTCACCCACTCCGTGATGCCTGCCCATCCACTCTCCTGCATCCATATAGCTTCCTTTCCAGGTGTCTGTGTGTCTGTCTCCTTAAGCATGTGGCTCATAGAGACTCATGGCATACATCCAGGCACAGAGCCTGCCTTGTGGCATCAGAGAGGCACCTCTCCCTGCCTGTGGTCTGATGTGAAAGATATATACTAGAAGATGCTGGAATAATCTTGGGAGTATATTTTAAGAATAGATCAATTGGAGATAATAAAGATTTCCAAAGTATCTTTGAACTTCTTGCAGGGGAACATTTATAAACTTGTGGAAGCATCATATGTGATCAGGGATAAATTACTAAAAGAAAAGAAAACTACAAGAGCAATGGAAGAATTAAGCTGGACTTTACCAACTTCTGACAATTGTCCAAGGATCACCAGGAGGACTGATTTGCACGCTGTGATGTTCACTGACGTTCTTTGCTGTGGTTCTTTATATCTCCCCATTACCCTTGCATAGTTTTAAGTCCTTGATATATTTTTTTCTTATCCACAAAAATAGCACCTTTTTTGGACAATTCAACAACTACAGTTTCATTATACACAACTCACACCCTAGATCAAGTTATTTTTAAAAGTAAAAATTGTCTGAAATCCCACTGACCCGATATAAATCAGTATCATTTTAGTCATGTGTTTCTTGACCATTTGATCTTCTATGTATTATTTATTCATAACCTTTGACAATTTTTATTGTCTTTTCCTTATCAGTTTGTAAACACTATCTGTCGAGAACTAATAATATTTTTATCAATTGCCTTGAAAATATTTTTAGTTTTGTTATATAAATGTTCTTATATTTGCAGTATCTATATAAATATATAGTTATATATTTTGTGTGCTTGGTACTTTGGCCATATAAAAGATTTTATATTTATAGAGTACAGTGCATGTGACCTTTTTATATAAATATCTTCTGCAACTCCTGTTGCAGGGAGACAAGCTTTCTGGAATTCTGTTAAGTTGCAGGCAGTAGAGTTGGTACAGCTCTGGAAGAACTATATTCCTTTGCTCTTAACGATCTTGAAATAGCACCTTCAGATACACACCTATACTTATTTTTGGTTTGAAATAATCACAGAGATCATCTAAAAATTATGTTCTTTTCCATAGCTATTAAATACTATTATAAAAGACACTAATAGGCCGGGCATGGTCGCTCACTTTGGGAGGCCAAGGTGGGTGGATCACCTTAGGTCAGGGCTTCGAGACCAGCCTGACCAACATGGCAAAACCCCATCTCTACTAAAAATATAAAAATTAGCTGGGTGTGGCAGTGCATGCCTGTAATCCCAGCTATTTCAGAGGCTGAGGCAGGAGAATCGCTTGAACCCAGGAGGTGGAGGTTCCAGTGAGCTGTCTCAAAAAAAAAAAAAAAAAAAAAAGAAAAGAAAAAAGACACTAATAGCCAGGAGCAGAGGCTCAAATCTATAATCCCAGCACTTCGAAGGGCCGAGGCAGGCAGATTGCTCAGGAATTCAAGACCAGCCTGGGCAATACAGCAAAACCCCATCATTATAAAAATTTTTTAAAAATATATTGGCTGGGCATGTTGGTGCATGCCTATGGTCCCAGCTACTTTGGGGCTAAAGCAGGAGGATCTCTTGTTCCTGGGAGGTTGAGGCTGCCGTGAGCCATGTTCGTGACACTTTACTGTAGCCTGGATGACAAAGTGTGACCCTGTCTCAAAAAAAGACACTAACAGAATGAAACACATCCAATAAAATAATATCTTTCATATTTACTTTTAAGTGTGCTCATGTGTAAAATGTGTGAAAATCCATTTCAAAAAGACTTTTTGCTTGAAATAATAAGAATATACTACTTGATATGAATGTATAGCTTATCTACTTAGGTTTATACGTCGTTTATTAATTCCAAGACACTAAGTTTGAGAAAAAGTTTAAGACAGGTTACTTAGAAGACATTTATCTTCACCTGTTTTATTCATCTTCTATGGAAATCCATTACTTTTGCCCATCACTTTGGTTACATCTACTAGCTTTATCAATAGGCATAAACTGTATAGCAAGTTGAAATAATTGGATCTAAGGAAATATCTTTTAGCTGTATAATTTAAGGCAGTCGATATTTCTTTTGTTAACATTTTTATGCACTTTTATGTTTCTGGTTAACCTGTTAAAGCTATTCTTTCCTTTTTTTTTTTTTTTTTTTTTTTTTTTTTGAGACGGAGTCTTACTCTGTCACCAGGCTGGAGTGCAGTGGCACAATCCTCCGCCTGGGTTCAAGCGATTCTTCCACCTCAGCCTCCCGAGTAGCTGGGACCACAGGTGCGTGCTACCACACCTGGCTAATTTTTATATTTTTAGTAGAGACGGGGTTTCACCATGGCCAGGATGGTCTCAGCCTCCCAAAGTGCTGGGATTACAGGCGTTATGCCTTCCCTTTTTATTTCTCTATATAACCATGAAGTAGTACGTAAAGAAAAGTTGTATTTGACTGATAACTCAGAGGTTATCCAAAGTAAGAAAATTATATATATATATATATATATATATATATATATATATGTACCACAAAGGGTCACTCTAACAATATCAGGATCTAGGAATGAAGAGCCTGGTTCCATAAACCCCTTGAAAACAATATATTTGATGAGGAGCTCTTAAGAACTCTCATCCTCAGTGAATGAACATTTGTATGAAGAGTTCACTGATTCATAGTTGACCAGGGAAATATCTCACAAAAATGCACTCTGATAGCCAAGTACCCTGCTTTCACTCCTTATAAAGTAAAAAACACTTCTAAATGCTCTGAATGTAACACAATTATTCGCTTTCATTTTTTTGAATGGTAAATGAGAGTATCAAAAAATCATAAAACTAAAATAGGAGCTCCTTTCTTTTTTGTGCATTTTTTATCTAAATGAAATCTGCCATACTTCGGGGCCTATGTTCAGTGTGATACTTTTGTGGAGGCTCAGTCTATAGCCAAGCCTGTGTGTGTTGATACTAAGATTCTGAAAGCCTTTACTTTTTTCTGTTTCAGTTCTATTCATTATACTTAGAAATATATTTTCTAGAAGAAAAAAGGATGGATGTTAAAGTTTTTTTTCTGATTTGTACTTTTGATTCACTATCTGATTTTTCATAAGGAAGCTTTGACAAGGTTTATTTTCCTATTGAAAATCTCACATTTCTGTGAGTCTTCACTGTCAAGAGAGAGCAGGGGATAGAATGTACCAAGTAACTTGGCAACCATCCAAATTCCATCCACATTCCAGGCGTAAGCTTCAGTTCTATGGGAAAAACCATTCAACCCAGAAATAGACAAGAAAGAGGGTTGAAACCTTCATGACAATACTAGAGAATTAACAGTGGAGACATGTTAGGCAACAACATAGTGTTGCCTTTCACAAGCTCCCTGAGGTTTCTATTTCAGTTAGAGGACCAAGATTTCAGTTCAAGTCACTGGAAGAAGAGAGCTGTCATTTACGGAAAGAGAACAAGTTTAAGGAGCAGAGGGAACTAAAAGTTCAGTTCTGACATGTTAACTTCCCAACACCTTAATAGGTGCTTTCTCCGAAGGAGGATTATCATCAGCAGGTAATATTCAGGTGAGAAGATGAGAGGGGCGAAGGAGAGGTAAAATGCTTGGGCCCCAAGGCATGCCGGCCTTTAGACACCTAAAGATGAGCATGAATAAGCTAAGGAGGCTGAAAAACAGGTTGGTGATAGGGATATACTAAAAGTTAAACAAATTAAATGTGAAAAAGAAGAGTTATCAACCGAACAAGTACCGAAATAGGTAGGCAAGATGACAACAATATTGACTCTGGGAACAGAGAAGTTCCTGGGACATTAACAAGAGGTCTTCAGCGCAGTGCTAGGGACAAAAGCCTGATGGGAGGACCTTCTGGGGTGACTGGAAAGACAAGGAGATCCCTTTGGTTACTTCCTGTGCATACCAGGAAAGGTAATTAACGTAACGGAGAATTTACAATCCTGCACTGCCTTTAACTGTGATTTTTGATGAACATTTCATATTAAAAAGTTAAACTATATGATCTTTACCTTTCATTTGAACATTTTCTAGTCTATAATCCCTCCTTAATTTAAATAATGCTTTCCCAAATTTGACTTTAGTTTCTTAACAATTTTTTGGATTTAAAAATCCTGCTTTCTCTGCTTTCTGTTCTCTCTCTCTTCCTCCCTCCCTCCCCCTTCCCCCCCCCCCGTGTGTGTGTGTGTGTGTGTGTGTGTGTGTGTGTGTGTGTTGTCGAGTCTCCCTTTCAGGCAGAAGAGGAAAAGCACCATACTACCATTAATAAGTCTATTATAAATTATGAGTCAATAATACTTAAAGCATAGATGAAAATTAAAAATGCAAAACTTTTGAAATGGGAAACAATCATGAAATTTCTGTCCAGGCTATTTTCTATAATATTGTAAAACTAAATAGCCCCTCCTTCATTTAACATTGCTATTTTGTTTTAGGCTTTTAAAAAATACAGCTATGGAGGCAAATAATTATTTTAATCAAACATATTCCTACTTTATAGGGTGGCTTTCATGCCATTTACTGAATAATTTTGTATTTGTAAAGTACTTTGAGTTATGCAGTAAATCTGTGAAAAATAAACAAAGACCAATTATGTATTTAATTTGCTCCAAGATGGAATGAAACTTTTCATCCCAATTAAGGAATAAATATTAAATATAGATAATCTTGGATTCATGTCATGATGCTAACCTGTATGTCTCTCTTTCACTGACAAAATATACAGAAACCCTTTATGGGACATTAATTCTTAAAAACTATGTCAAAATATATATCCATAGTAGACTCATTCTAAGGTGGCTCTCCAGTGCATCCTGCAGGAGTAGGGTAGGCAGGAGGTCCCCAGCCTCTGTGTCCTAGCCTGGTAGCAGCTGTTGTCTGGGCAGCAAGGATGATTCACAGGGCTGAGATCCCACCAGGCTCTTGCAGGAGGAGCCCTTGGGGAGCCGAGAAAAGAGCCAGGATAAAAAGCCAAACTTCACTTCCAAATCTGACTCAGAGCATAGGAGCCACTGAGATCAAAACAAGTGGCCATTTGGGCATAGCATTTGGTGCCCCTTCAAAACGATGTTCTTTTTAATACACGGTAAGAGCGAGAACATTCTTTTATTGCCCAGAGTAATTTAGCTCTGGTAACACACTTAAATCTCACCCTGCAAAACTGAAGCCTTGCAATTTTATATTCCCATCCTCCTGAGAAGGTGCTTTAGGAATAAGGGCTATTTATTGTTACTAAAACATGCTTCTACTGTGACCAAGGCATATCCCTCTTATTTCCTCTCTTACACAGACTTTAAACTGTAGACTACAAAGAATAGACTTAATTTTTAGAGCTGTTTAAGTTTATAGAAATATTGAGCAGGAAGTACAGAGTAATATAGCTCCTTCCCTGTCCCAATATAGTTTCCCTTATTAGTATCTTGCACTAGTCTGGTACATTTGTTACAAATGATGAATCAATATTAATACATAATTAACCGAGCTTGGGATACTCTGTGTCTTGCATTTTGAACATCATGCTTATAGAAAAACTTTGGAGGGGGTAGGAAATGAGCTGAAACATTTGGGTTGTGAAATATCAACATAACTCAAGATTTTCAGATTGGTGCAAAATTAACAGCATGAAGGAGAGGCAGACTGTAGTAACACTGAAAAAAGATGCTATTTACAATCAAAGCTAAATTCAAATCCAACCCCAGCCACTTAGTAGTTGTGTGACCTTGCCTAGTTTATTAAATCTTAGAACCTCAAACTTTTTCCATCTTTAAAAGAAAATAATTATTTTGATAATTTTGATCAGCAATACTGAGAGCTTGGCTCCCAGTGGGTTAAAAAAACATGAACTAGTATTTCTTTTTTGAGAATAAAAAATAATTTATTACCATGTAACCTATTAAGTGTATATTTTTTGACTGAAGCTTTTGGTTTTCGATAGAAAAGGTTCATCATTGAATTATCTGTTTCTTAGCACAATGTGCTTTGCATTTGGCTCATTGTTCATTGTGCTTCATGAAAAATGTCTTTACATATTTAATATGACTGAATTATTCTATTGCAATAAACAGCTGTAGTGAAATAACAACTCCTATCTCATTAGCAGAAATGAGTTTTGCATCACAAACTTGAATTATTCTTTGAACTTATTTAAGACTAGGATGTGAAAGAAATGATGATGGTACCCAAAGTATAATAACTTTGTAAGCCACCAAGGAGGAGGATTTCAACTAGAGATGATTGTTTTTTGGGAGAAAGAAAAAGCAAGTTAGTAGCAAAGTCTCATTTTGGCCAGCTTTTCCTCCTGTAGGAAAATAGGCTTGGAGCTCACCCTTAACCTTCCCAAAACTGAAATGGCAAAAGAGGTCTGCCCAAGGCACAGAGAAGTATCAACAGGACCTTCTTAAAGCCAAACTTTTTCTTACTAGATTTCCAGCCGCTTCCTCCTCATGGGAATTGTTGTTGAACTTTAATTTCCCACATCTACAATGAGGTTTAGAAAAAGATTAAGGGATCAAAGAGAACTTTCAGATAAAATGAAACTTTTTCCCTCTTGAAGCAGCAAATGCTTTACATAAAACAAGCAAACAAAGACAGTTAAGAAGAAAATATTTTTTATGTGTTATCCAGAGAACTCAAAAACAACAAAATTCATTTTTAACAATTTCTTTGGTTTTAATCAAAATCATCTTTTTATCACAAACTCTGTTTTTCATTTAGCTGTCTCATTGCTGCTTGTCATTATTAATTTGTTGTTTATGAACTCCAAATCAAACATTTTTCTGTATGTGGGCAAATATTATTGGCAAATTAAATCATCATCAGGGTTGGCATGGAAAAACAGCTAATCAATTATTTAGAATTTTTCTCATGATCATTCTTGTTTTTCTGACTTTAATAGATCTTGACCAAAAACTAGTAAGAAAGGAAATATGAGAATTAAAGAAACAATACAACTAAATGAGAAACGTCACAACCAAGCCAGTGGATCAAATGCTACTCTTCTTTAATTCAATTATTGTCTTTGATCACTTTGGTGACTGAGAAGCGGAGAAAAACTGGATCAATTACACAGAACAACAGAACACTGTAAGAAGGAAAAGAGACTGGACAAGAGACTGGCCCTTATTCAAAGCCAGAGCAGTTATACTTTCTGTTTCCTTCATTAGAAATTCAACCATCAGTCCAATGTTGGCTCCTTAAAGGAAACATTTCATTATTCACTCGATCAGTAAATTATGCCTGTGTGGTAGCTTACATCCATATCCCAGCACATTAGAAGGCCCAGGTGGGAGGACTGCTTAAGGCCAGATGTCCCAGACCAGCCTGAACAAAAATGAGCAAGTATGGTGGTACATACCTCTAGTTCCAGCTACTTGGGAGACTGAGGCAAGAGAATTACTTGAGCCCAGGAGTTTGAGGCTACAGCATGCTATGATTGCACTGCTACACTCCAGCCTTGGCAACACAGGGACACCCTGTTTCTAAAATAAACAAATAAATATTGACACCTATGATATACCAAGACTATCGAAGGTACTGAAAAGGCAGTAGGGAAAAAAAGACATAAGACCTCAGTCCTCAGGGGCCTTACGTTCCAATGGTACTGGAAGAAAAAAAACATCAATAAGCATTTCAGGGAATGGAAAGCTCTAAGAAGGCAGATAAAAAAGAACAAGAGAAATGTGCTGGAATGTGCTATTTTAAGTAAGGTGATAGGGAAGGCCTATTTGAAGAGACCTTTACAAGAAGCCTGAATGAAGTAAAAGAATGAACCATCCTGTAATCCCAGCACTTTGGGAGGCCGAGGCGGGTGGATCATGAACTCAAGAGATTGAGACCATCCTGGTCAATATGGTGAAACCTCGTCTCTACTAAAAACACAAAAAATTAGCTGGGCACAGTGGCACGTGCCTGTAATCCCAGCTACTCAGGTGGCTGAGGCAGGAGAATTGCCTGGACCCAGGAGGCAGAAGTTGCGGTGAGCTGAGATCGCGCCATTGCACTCCAGCCTGGGTAACAAGAGCGAAACTCCGTCTCAAAAAAAAAAAAAAGAATGAACCATATACATATCTGAGGGAAGAGTATTTCAGGCAGAGGGAACATCAAGAACCAAGATGCAGAGGAAGGAACATGTGTCTGGTATTCTAAGACCATCTGAAAGGCTGAGGATGCTTGGCCAAAGTGAACCAGCAGAAAACTAATAGAGGTTGAATATCTCAAATCCCAACTCTGAAATGCTCCAATGAGCATTTCCTTTGAGCATCATGTTGGCGCGTAAGAGATTTGGATTTGGGAGCATTTGGATTTCAGAGTCTTAGATCTGGGATAGTCAACCAGTAAAGATAATGTAAATATTCCAAAATCCGAAAATCCTTCAAAATCTGAAACATTTCTGGTCCCAAGCATTTTAGAGAAGGGGTTTTCAACCTGTAGTAGGTCTTTTGATCTATGGTCAAAGGGGTGGTGATTTGACTCTGATTGACATGGGGAGCCTTGGAGGAGGGTCAGCTTGCCCTGATGTTGAGTATAAAGGGCTGTTTTTGCTCCTGTGTGGAAAATGAACTATTGGGAAGCAAGGAGGGAAAGCAGAGAACAAGATGAGGCTTTTGCAATAGACAGACAATAACTGCTTGGTGGCTGGGACTGACAGTCACAAAGTGGGTCAGAAAAGGTCATGCTGAGGGATATGCTTTGAAGGCAGAGCCAGCAGGAATGGATGCAAGGTAGAGAAATAGAAGACTCAAGGATGACTACAAATTTCTTGAGGACAATTACAAAAATTGAGTAGCCATTTACTGAAAAGGGGATTGTGAGCAAGAAACAAGTCTGTATACTGGGGAATCCAGGCTTAAGTTTGAAACTTATTATACTGAATTATCTTATTAGACATCCAAATGGAATGTCCAGCAATCACCTAAACATACAAGTTAAATGTTTAAGGGAGTGGTCAGAATTAGATAACTACATCTTGGAGACATCAGCATATTGGTAGTATTTAAACTATTTGTCCTTATCCAGGAAATGAGTTTCGATAGGAATAGTCATCAGCCTGGATAATTGACCTTACTGACAAAAGATAAGATTTCTTTTTCTGTTTTCTGTTTTTTATTGTTTTTTTTTTTTTTTTTTTTTTTCCTTTTTGTCTGTCATCACCAATGTAAAGATCTTTAAAATAACATTCCTGGAGAAATGACTATAAACTAGAAATCCAGTAGTGACTAGGAAAATGCATGTCTTTGTAAGTTATAGTGACTCCTTAGAGCAAAAATAGTGTTGTCATAATTTAACAATGAAAATCCATCTCATCCTGTAATTATATAATGCCATGGAAACCACTGTAGACTGGATGGTCAGAATCCAGCCACTTCCATTCCCAGAATCCCAGTTCCTCAACTGTAAAAGCTAATGATGGGATACTCTCTAAGTTTCCTTCTTGTTTCAAAAACCGATTCTCTTTTTACTCTTTGCTGTACTTTATGATAGTAGACTATTTTGCTGTATTTTACTCTTTATTTTACTACTTTACAAGAGGCAGTATAGTGTGTGTGTGTACATTCATGCATCACTTAACAAGGATGCATTCTGAGAAATGCATCATTAGGCAATTTCGTTGTCATGCAGACATCACAGAGCGTATTCACACAAACCTAGGTGGCATCGCCTACTACACATCTAGGCTATACGGTGTAGCCTATTGTTCCTAGGCTATAAACTGTATAATATGTTACTATGCTGAATACTGTAGGCAACTTAAGACAATGGTGTATTGTTGTATCTAAACATAGAAAAGAAAAAAATCGACTGGGTGCCAGGGCTCATGCCTGTAATCCCAGCACTTTAGGAGGCCAAGGTGAGTGGATCACCTGAGGCCAGGAGTTCGAGACCAGCCTGGCCACCATGGTGAAACCCCATCTCTACTAAAAATACAAAAATTATCTGGGGGTGGTGATGGTTACCTGTAATCCCAGATACTGCAGGAGGTTGAGTCAGGAGGATCGCTTGAACCCAGGAGGCAGAGGTTGCAATGTGCTGAGATCATGCCACTGCACTCCAACCTGGGCAATGAGAGTGAGACTCCAACTCAAAAAAAAAAAAGAAAAAAAAAGTAAAAGTAAAAATATGGCATTATAATCTTATGGCACCACCATTATATACACAGTCCATTGTTGACTAAAATGTTATGGGGCTCATGACTATATATATATAAATTCAGAAAAGCATTTGATTAGACCTTTCTCTCTCTCTCTCTCTCTCTCTCTCTATATATATATATATATATATATGTGTGTGTGTGTGTGTGTGTGTGTGTGTGTATACACACACACATATATATTATAAGTTATTTATTTATTATTTCTAAACCTCTACATTTTACAAAGTGTAGTTAAGGAATGAATAAAAGATAACTTGTTTAAAAGCATTTCTAAAGACAGCTCAAATACTTACATAAAATTAGAGGAAATTTTTTTACCATTTAGCCCCTATCTTAGGCTACTTGGTGTGCTCCCATCTCACACGCACACATATACATCATCACAGGTATGTTATACATTATACCAAAGGGGAATCCTCCAAAGGGATTATTATTATTTATTTTTTTTTTTTTTGAGACGGAGTTTCGCTCTTGTTACCCAGGCTGGAGTGCAATGGCGCAATCTCGGCTCACCGCAACCTCCGCCCCCTGGGTTCAGGCAATTCTCCTGCCTCAGCCTCCTGAGTAGCTGGGATTACAGGCACGCACCACCGTGCCCAGCTAATTTTTTTTGTAATTTTTAGTAGAGACGGGGTTTCACCATGTTGACCAGGATGGTCTCGATCTGTTGACCTCGTGATCCACCCGCCTCGGCCTCCCAAAGTGCTGGGATTACAGGCTTGAGCCACCGCGCCCGGCCCAAAGGGATTATTACCTACAAGTACAACAGGAACAAGTACAATACAGTAGGTACAATAGAAAGGAAATGGGGAAGAATGGTGCTTCTATACAATGGAATAATGGGTAGTCATTAAACATCAAGGCTAGATAGATGGATGGATATGGATGGATGGATGGATGGATGGATGGATGGATGGATGGATGGATGGGGGTGTCTAACCAAATGCTTTTCTGAATTTACATGTCTTTTCTTAATCTTATTATGGTAAAAACGGTTTTCTCTTTCTTCTTTCATTTTCCTATTTTCTAGACATCAAAGCTATCACAGATAATTCAATGGATCAACAGACTTCTGTTCGTTGAACTGGAGCTGTGAGTCCAGCACTCTAGGAATTATACTGTCAGTAATTATGTGCTGTTTCTCTCCACAATTTAACAACTGATTTTCTTCTGTAACTTTTAGCTTGTACAATATGCACTACTGTATCACCTTTGATTTTATCAAACACTAAACATAGAACTCTATACTGTCCCCAAAGCCATTGCTAAGCTATGCGGAATTCATGTTGAGCCATCAGGATACATTAGAGCACCATATTCTTATTCCCTACCCTATTCTTTTCCTAAATATTGATACCAAGATTTCCTGAGGTCATAGGGAGAAGATAGAGGAATTTAAAGTTAGTCAAGTAAATTAAATTCTAACATTGAAAAATCTTTGATTCCTTTATTTAACCACAATGCGTTAATTATTTCTAAAACTCTACATTTTACAAAGTGTAGTTAAGGAACGAATAAAAGACAACTTGTTTCAAAGCATTTCTTAAGCCAGCTCCAATACTTATATAAAATTAGAGGGAATTTTTTTTACCATTTAGCCCCTCTCGTAGGCTATTTGGTGTGCTCCCATCTCACACGCACATGTATACATCATCACAGTTATGTATTACATTATACCAAAGGGGAATCCTCCAAAGGGATTATTACCCACAAGTACGATAGGTATAAGTACAATATAGTAGGTACAATAGGAAGGAAATGGGGAAGAATGGTGCTTCTATACAATGGAATAATGGGTAGTCATTAAACATCAAGCCTTGAATATTATTTAATTATATTAGGAAATGTTTCTGATATAATGTTAAATTTAAAAATATATAAAAACAATATGATTTCAACATTTTTACAAAGAAATATATATATTTCAAGCTAGTAATAATTTTAAGAGGCCAAAAGGAAACACAGATTCTCTAAATGATGAATTTATAAATTATTTCTACTTTTATTATTTATTCTAATAAGAATGTATTTTCTATTGAGAAAAAAAATTTAGATGGGTTAGAAATGTAAAATTATTTAAATATTGAAATCACATTGTAAATAATACTATTAAGGTTGCACAATATTATTTGATTTTTCAGTATGACTGTAATTTTATACTTATCACTATACCTAATGTCCTATAGTTCTCTACTTATAGGTAAATCGTTTTAGGATTATTTCCACAGAACTTTGACTTGGATACGGTGAGCTATGCTGGTATATAGGTCCAAATAAATAAATCTTCACACAAATCATAAAGGTCCATTGAATTTAAGTGGTGTGAACTCCAGAACCCAGTTCATAAAGTTTTGTCCTGTATCTACTCATAGACTAATCTGGCCGAAATAATCAAGGATACACAGATTAGATGCCTGGTTTTAATTAACCCAGAAGAAAAACCTGCTCTTCATGAGTCTAAGATACTAAGGAATGGAGGTATTTATAATAATTCTTCATAATGCATATTTTGCATTAATTCCTTGAATACAATATATGTAGCAGGTATGACATATTTGTAAGTATAAGGAGTATATTTGCTCCATGTTTATTAACTGAAGCAGAATTGATCTTAGAATGCATTATCTCTGATTTTACTTTTATTCTAAAAGGAAGACTGAGAATAATGTCTGGTCTGGTGATGCTTAGAGGAATAAAATCTAAAAATTGAAACATAAGCAATCCAAACACACAGATAGTACAGGGAGGAATTATAGTTTATTTTAAACATTGAAAAGTGAAATTGATTATCAGAAGCCAAAATTTGTAAGCCTGAAATTTTTTTCTTGCTTAATTTCTTAAGCTTTTGACATTAAATGAATGTACATTTAATCTCTTGGTGTTTAATTTTAGATTATATCTGTTTTATTATGATGTTCTTCTTTTTTACAATTTAGGTCCCCAGAGGGCAAGAGAAAGGTCAGTTTAATTTGAAGTCTTTTGTAGTACTTGAAGTACTCAATAAAAATGTCACTTGTAATGAAAACTTGACTGCAATTGTAAAAATGGCATCGCTATGATGACGATTATGATAATGCTGACTTTGCCATTGCTTTGCAGAAAGCCTCAAGAAAATTCATCCTGTAATCCTAAAGCATAGTTTCGCTGACAAAATGTGCTGTTAGTTCAAACTCACTACACCCATTTTTCAGGAAGACCCCAAATCGTTATGAAAGTATAGACAAAGGAAGAGGTACTAACAGTTTCCCTACAGGTGGCTTTTTGGCAATACATTCTTTTTTTTTTTTTTTTTTTTTTTAAACAGAGTTTTTCTGTTTGTTACCCAGGCTGGAATGCCATGGTTTGATCTCGGCTCACTATAACCTCCGCCTCCTGGATTCAAGCAATTCTCCTGACTTAGCCTCCCGAGTAAGTAGAATTATAGGCCTGTGCCACCATGCCTGGCTAATTTTGTATTTTTAGTAGAGGTGAGGTTTTACCATGTTGGCCAGGCTGGTCTTGAACTCCTGATATCAAGTGTCTGTCCCCCTCAGCCTCCCAAAGTGCTAGGATTACAGGCATGAGCCACCAAGTCCAGCAATTCTTGAACATGAAAATAAATAGATAATAAATAAAACTGAATTCCTCCCAATCTATCATAGAAACTCTTTTACAATGTAAGAGTCCACAAAATAAATCAGAATAATAGGAATTTGACAAAAGAAGACATTTATCTATTCTCACAGAAACATTGGTCACATAACTTATAAATTGCCAACTGAGTTTCACCATCCATCACCAAGATTTCCATCTAATGACAGGGAAATAGTTACCATACCTCTCTCATGTCATGCAACCTTTTGATGTGTCAGGAAGTCAAACAATACATAAATTCAGCCCTGAGGGTGTGGACAACACCTGTGGGGTGGGCAGATTTTTTTTCCCACTAACAGCAGCTAATTTCTCTTCTGAGTACTGATGGAATCTTTGTAGCATGCCTATGGCTTCAGGAAAAGCTGCAGAGAGATTTCCCTTCAACAGCAAGAATGTTTACTTTTTAAACTTTTGAGAATATATCATTATCCTTTCTCCCTTAAAATGTCCAGAAAAATGTGCTATTATTTGTGTTAAAAATCATAGATAAGAAGCTCCATATTCAGTTCCAACTCACTGATTGTCTTCAGCTTAAAAATAGAATTTTCTCTTATCTGAAACCTATAGGCATCTATTAGCATTGATTTGGCTATCTGAATAGATAATAGGGACTCTGTTCCCAAATGATACATATTTTTAACCTATATAATTTTACATTAAAATGCAAATATAAAATATATAAATAGAATACATATACATAATTGATATAAAACATAAATTTTACATAGAGAGAGAGAGAGAGAAAAAAAAAGAGTGAACTTGTCCAGGACTGAAAGAGTGAAAATCAACTCAGAATAAAAAGAAACAAGGAGCCCTGTTGCTCACCCGGTGGAAAGGACCCCTAGATACATCCAGCTGTGTAATTAACAGGAAACACTGTTTCTCCCAAGGTCACGCAGCAGCTGTTCAATGCCATAACAACCCTCTTCCTGAATGACCTCTGCTTTGTCACTAATGATGCTCACAGACGTACTTTGCTGTAACTCATCTGTTCCTGGGAATCCAGAATTGCTAAATGTCCTTGCCTCATGACATGGCATAATCCCTAGTTAATCTTCATTTGCTAATCCGGAACTGATCCCCACTGGCTTCCACTGAGTCCTCCTTCAAGCTCTTCAGTGAGAACCCAGACCTTTTGAAAGATACTTCCTCCGGTCACACAGCACTCCTGTCTCTTCCCAAGGGCCACCCCTTGGCTGCACTAACTCAATACATCTGATTTTGTCAGTCTCTGGGTCTGTTGATAGTGATTTGTGACTAACTCACTAGCCTGTCACAAGTTGGAGAGTTTATGGAGAGTTGGCTGAGACCTTTGTTGCCATGAACTGAGACCGTAACTCCATAATAATGTATATGTGTGAGACCCCCTGAATCTCACCTACTCAAGACTTCTCTGTCACCAGTTGTATGAGTTGTCCACTGAACCAGGGGTTTGATAATCTTTTTGTCTCTTCTGTGTCAGCTTTATTATTTGTCTCCCAGGAATTGGACGTCATAAATCTGACTTTGTCAGACTGTTTGTCAGGTACACACACACACACACACACACACACACACACACAAACAATTGTTTCTTCAGTTCAAAGATAATTTTTTAGGATGAAAGTAAATTTAAAGCAAAAATTGACACAACTTTCTACTTTTAGTAATTCAATTGCTTTGACTTACTATGATGGATATATTTGCTGCAATTTTGCTACAATAAACTCTTAATCACAAACAAGTTAGAGACATGACTATACCTATATGTAAGAGTGGATATAAACAAAGAAAAAATGAATTCATGTGGTAAGCTTGTGAACCTTTCTTTAAAAATTCTTTTTTGCAGAATGTAACTCTTGCTGAGAATTCTTGACCACCTTTATAAAAATAACATTTATGGTTCTTTTAGGACTATATATTTTATGATAATACGAATGATACATCTTCATCCCTTTACTCACTAGATGACTTCTCTTTATTTCACAATCATATAAGAACAGAGAAGACTCAAGCTGATTAGCAGATTTTTTTGCTGTCCTCTCAAAGTACAGCTACCTGAGATCAGAACCTTCTGATAATTTGTGCTGCTATTTTAGGATCCTGTTTCATTCCACAACTGGCTGAAGCATGAAATGAACTAAAATAAACTGAATTGAGTGGAACTGAACTGAAGTGAAGTGAAATAATGTGATTTCCAGTAAACCTGACACCTTAAGGACAGACCATGAGCCTCACCCACCTTCCTCCCAGAGGTCCCAGCACACTGACGGACTCACACAGTGCTCTCAGTGCATGAGTGATGAATTTCACTAACAGCAATCCATCTCTCTCTACATAATCCACTCCAGTTTCGCCAGGGCTGAGAATATCGTGCATTACATCTAGAGATAGCTGTAAGCTAATGGCCAAGGCACATAACTGAATTCAAACATATTCTTTATTGCAGTCAGATGTGAGAAAACAAAATTTAGAAGACAAGCCAGAAAGGAAAGGAAGCACATAAAGATCTTGAATCCCCGTTGTCAATTTTTCCCTGACTGCCTCGTTTTCCTCTCTTCATTCCATTTACCTTTCTGTTCCCATCCCCATGATTTTTGCATTGTTTATGGTGTGTCTGCTGCATGGCGGTCAATGTGCTGAGCACTTTTCATGTCCTATCCCATTTGATCTTCACAGCAGCACACTATTTAATTACGAATATGATTCTACATACTATATATAAAATTTAACATAATTTTACCTAGGAGGAAGCTGAGACTTGCCCAAGACTACTCCATTAGTAAGATGTGAACCATGCAAACCATGTCTGACTCAAACTTAACCTCTGATTCTCTGAATCCACATTGTTGTAGAATGCAATAGTGAAATATCGGGGTAGACATGACACTATTAGTACACAAACTAGGCACGGACTTACTCGCAGCTAGACAGGAACTTACGGCCGGACGCAATGGCTCATGCCTGCAATCCCAGCACTTTTGGAGGCCAAGGTGGACAGATCACCTGAGATCAGGAGTTCGAGACCAGTGTGGTCAACATGGCAAAACCCCATCTTTACCAAAAATACAAAAGTTAGCTGGGCATTGTGGCATATGTCCGTAATTCCAGCTACTCAGGAGTCTGAGGCAGGGGAATCGCTTGAACCCAGGACAGGGAGGTTGCAGTGAGCTGAGATCACACTACTGCACTCCAGCCTCGGTGACAGAGCAAAACTCCATCTCAAAACAAATAAATAAATAACAAAAGAAAGTCACAAGCACTACTTCCACTTCCCCCTCGAACTTTTCCATTGTTACCTGTCTCTCTGCCTAAAAGCAATCCCAGTGACTCCCATGTTCTCCTTGCATCTGCCTCCCATCTATCCTACTCTTGCTCTACCCACTTCAGGATTGTCTTAGAATTCTATGGGGAAGAATTATAAAATTTATCATCCCAAAGAGTCCATCCAATCATCTATAACAAGATTTAAAGTTTAGTAATATACTCAAAATTTGGCAAATGATAGTTTCATTGTTGCTTGCACTCCAAATAGATGAGAGGTCAGGATAGATGTTTACCAGTAACCTCCTTCCAGTGGCCTTAATAAACTTAAGCATGATATATACCAATAACCTAATAAATATAGTGAGGGTTTCTTCTCAGCTGTATACACAACCCCCATATAAACTGACATCTTAGTTTTATAACATTTAGGGTTTTTGCTTTTTATTCTGTCCTGGTGGCTATTAACTGAGCACATTTCTATTTGTGAATCGTCAGATAATGTATTTATATTTAGAAACAGAAAATCATGTCACCTGATAAGTATGCAGGTATCATAAGCTCCAAAGCACCAACAAAAGACACAGGTGCTGACCATTTTATTTTATGACAAGATTCACTGTATGAAGATGTTCTGTTATCATGAGGCCCATCAAACACTAAACATTCTAAAGAACTCTTACTGCATTCACATACAAATCAGCAAATCATTCTTTCATCATAAATCATCTTTGAAAACAATTTTCTCACTTGAATTCTAGGTAACATTCTAGGTTATATGTTCAGTTAGATCTTGTTCTTTTCCATGGAAATCAAAAACAAATGTACGATCTCGGGAGATGAGCTAAAAGATGAATGTCAGATTTTTGAAAAGACAATTACTTGGGCAGAATTATGACTGAACAATGTGATTTTTTTTCTTTTAATTCTTTTATTCTGAATATTTTCTTTCAGTTTGGCTTTTTATTTCATCAAAATTATAGATGCACATAGTTTTAAGCACATTGGAAGGACCATAGGCTTAAAACAGGGCCCTCGCATCTTGTCCAGTACATCTGAGATTTTTTCCATTTCTAAAGGCAACTGTTTTCAATTCCAATAGATTTTTTGTTGCTGTTGCTCATAGTTACCTCCATAACTCTAAATAGCCCACGCTACTACTTTAGATATTTCTATTTTGAGGCTATTATCTATGGAAAATAAAGATTTGCTCCCATTCACTCTACCTCAACCCAACCAACCGCCAAGTATCATTTAAATTAGTTTACTTAGATTACTATACAATACTTAACTGATTGCAATTAGGTCAACGCTGGGCCACACATTAATCTATAGTAACTTTTCCTTTCTCCTTTAGCGATGTTTTGGTTTTACTTGAAGTTGATCGTCACACGTTTGTTTGCTTAGATGTGCACACTTCTACCATGAACTTTGCAAACTTCTCCTCCAATGTCTAAGCTTCACACAGGAGCTAATTTTATTGATTGCATCTTTATTTCATCTCTGGTCACGTCTCTCTCACCTATTCTAGT